GCCAAGGACCGTCCCTGTGTCACCCTGTCACTGTGTCACCCTGTCACTGTGCCACCCTGTCATCATGTCACTGTGCCACCCTGTCACCCTGTCACCGTGTCACCCTGTCACCTCTCCCTGTCCCCACCATCCCCGTCACCCCCCCGTTATCCCACCCACCCGCGGTGCCCCGCGGTGCCCCCGGGGTGCCCGGAATTCCGTAGGGATACAGGACGATGCCGGCCAGCAGCCAATAGTCGTGGCGCCGGTGCCAGATCTCGTTGAGCTTCCCCGAGGAGATGGCGGCGCGCTCCTCGTTCTGCCACAGCGTGTGCAGCTCTGGGGGGGGGAGAAAAGGGCAGTGAGACCCCCCACGGGACCCCCAGGGTGCCCCCCCGCTCACCCACTGACCCAGGAAGCCCCCCAGGACCCCCCACTGACCTGTGAAGCCCCCCCCAGGCCCCCTCTGACTGGTGAAGCCCCCCAGTGTCCCCCAGTGCCCCATGAAGACCCCCAGTGACCCCTGAAGTCCCCCAGTGTCCCCCAGGCCCACCACTGACCCATGAAGCTCCTCCAGGCCCCCACTGACCCGTGAAGCCCCCCAGTGCCCCGTGAAGCCCCCCAGTGCCCCCCAGTGCCCCCCCGACCAGTGAAGCCCCCCCACTGATTGGTGAAGCCTCCCAGTGCCCTGTGAAGCCCCCCAGTGCCCCCCAGTGTCCCTCGGTGCCCTATGAACCCCCTCAGTGCCCCCCAGTGCCCTGTGAAGCCCCCCAGTGCCCCCCACTGACCCATGAAGCCCCCCAGTGCCTCCCACTGACCGGTGAAACCCCCCCAGTGCCTCCCACTGACCGGTGAAGCCCCCCAGTGCCCCCTGAAGCCCCCCAGTGCCCCATGAAACTCCCTCAGTGCCCCCTCCCGACCTATGAAGCCCCACAGTGACTCCCTCTGACCCATGAAGCCTCCCAGTGCCCCCCCAGTGCCCCCCCCCAGTGCCCCGCTGACCAGTGAAGCCCCCCAGTGCCCCCTGAAGCCCCCCAGTGCTGCCCCAGTGCTCCCCACTGCCCTGTGAAGCCCCCCAGTGCCCCCCAGTGCCCCGTGAAGCCCCCCAGTGCCCCCCAGAGCCCCCCTGACCGGTGAATCCGCCGTCGGCGATGTTGAACATGAACCGCGGCTTCTCGGCGCGCTCGTCCCGCCGGCCGTTGGCCCGACCCTCCAGCCTGGGCTCCTTCTCGGCCTTCACCTCCTCTGTGGGGGGACACACACACATTGGGGGGGTCTCAGAGCCACGTTCAAACCCCCCCAAACCTCCCCCAACCAGCAGGAAAACATTGGGACCAGGAGGGTCCCGTCCGGAGGGTTCGGGAGAACGCGGGGAAATCAAGAACGGAGAGTTTTGGGGGATCTTCTTGGGGGATCTTCTTGGGGATCTTGAGGGATCTTCTTGGGGGATCTTCCTGGGGGGTCTTCTTGGCAGGTCTTCTTGGGGGGGTCTTCTTGGGGGATCTTCTTGGGATCTTCTTGAGGGATCTTGGGGATCTTCTTGGGGGGGTCTTCTTGGGGGGTCTTCTTGAGGGATCTTCTTGAGGGATCTTCTCGGGGGATCTTCTTGGGGATCTTCTTGGGGGACCTTCTTGAGGGATCTTCCTGGGAGATCTTCTTGGGGACCTTCTTGAAGGGTTTTATTGGGGGATCTTCTTGAGGGATCTTCTTGAGGAGGTGTTTTTGGATGGATCTTTTTTGGGGGATCTTTTGGGGGAGATCTTAGGGGAGGGTTTTTTTGGTTAAGCCCCGCCCTCTCTGGGTTAAGCCACACCCCCCTCTAGTCACCCCCCCCTCCCAGGTACCTCTTTTGGGGTCGGGGTCCCCCGGTCGCTCCTTGGGCTCCTCCTCGGGGGGTTTCTCATCGCCCTTCTCGGCCCCGGGACCCTTCTCGGCCTCGGTGCCTGTTGGGGGGGCACGGGGGGGCTCGGATATGGGGGTCCCCTGGGATTTGGGGGGTCCCCGGGGATTTGAGGGATCCCCAGGGGAGTTGGGGGGCACCTGGACACTAGGATACCCCTGGGATTTTAGGGTCCCTGGGGCTTTGGGGGGTCCCCGAGAGGAGTTGGGGGTCCCTCAGGGAAGTTGGGGGGCACCTGGACAATGGGGTCCTCCTGGAGGGTTTGGGGTCCCCCAGGGATTTGGGGGGTCCCTCAGGGGGCTTGAGGTCCCCCAGGGGAGTTGGGGGGCATCTGGACAATGGGGTCTCCCAGGGATTTGGGGGTCCCCTGGGATTTGGGGGGTCCCCGGGGATTTGGGGTCCTCCAGGGGAGTTGGGAGGTACCTGGACACTAGGATACCCCTGGGATTTTGGGGTCCCTGGGGCTTTGGGGGGTCCCCCAGAGGAGTTGGGGGTCCCTCAGGGAAGTTGGGAGGCACTTGGACATCGGGGTCCCCTGGGGGGTTTGGGGTCCCCCAGGGATTTGGGGGTCCCTTAAAGGAGTTGGGGGGCACCTGGGACAATGGGGTCCCTCTGGGATTTGAGGGTCCCTTAAAGGAGTTGGGGGGCACCTGGACACTGGGGTCCCTCTGGGATTTGGGGTCCCCTGGGATTTGGGGTCCCCCAGGGGAGTTGGGGGGCACTTGGACACTGGGATACCCTTGGGATTTGGGGGTCCCCAGGGCTTTGGGGGTCCCTCAGGGGAGCTGAGGGGTCTCCTGGCCAATGGGGTCCCCCTGGGGGATCAGGGGGCTTTGAGGGGGGTTCTCACCTGGTCTCTCCTCACGGGCCGGGGGCCCTTCGGCCTCGGGGTCCCTGTGGCCGGGCCCCTCCTCCTCCTCCCCCTTCCGTGGTGGCCCCTCGGCCTCGCTGCCATCGCCCGGGGATGGGGGCACCTCGGGCACGGGGGGCTGTGGGGACACCCAGGGGGGGTCACCGAGGGGGGGTCACCCCCGGCCTGTCCCTCCTGGCCACCCCCGAGTGGTGACAACAGTGGGGAGGGAGGGGACAAGGACAGAGGGGACAGGGATGGGGACAGAGAAAGGGAGGACATTATTGGGGACAGGGGGCTGTGGGGACACAGAGGGGGGGTCACCTTGGGCGTGTCACCCCCAGTGTCCCCCCCGGCCACCCCCGAGCGGTGACAACGGTGGGGAGGGGACAGGGACAGGGGACAGGGGTGGGGACAGGGACAAGGATGGGAGACAGGAGTGGGGAGGGGATGGGGACAGGGGACAGGGATGGGACAAGAATGGAGACAGAGAAAGGGAGGACATTACTGGGGACAGGGGGCTGTGGGGACACCGAGGGGGGGTCACCCCGGGCGTGTCACCTCCGGCGTGTCCCCCCCGGCCACCCCCGAGTGGTGACAACGGTGGGGAGGGAGGGGACAAGAACAGAGGGGACAGGGGTGGGGATGGGGAGTGGGGTTGGCAGGGACAGGGGACAGGGATGGGACAAGGTTGGGGACAGAGAAAGGGAGGATGTCACGAGGGACAGGGGTGGGGACAGGGATGGATGGAGTTGGGGACAAGGCTGAGGACAGACAGGACAGGGTTGGGGACAGAGAGGACAATGTTGGGGACAGGGCTGGAGACAGAAGGGACAGAGTTGGGACAGCCCTGTCACTCACGTCCGTGTCCATCTTCTCGGGGCCCTTGGGCTCCTTCTCGTCCCGGGTGTCCCCGTCGTCCCTGTCCGGGGGTGGCCCCGTCCCGTCCCCGCGCTCGCTGGGCGCCGGCGTGGCTGGGACAGGGACAGGGACAGGGGACACTGGGACATTGGGACACTGGGACAGGGGTGTCCCCAGCGCCCTGCTCCTGTCCCTCATCACCCCGTGTCTCCCATGTCCCCCTTGTCCCCATATGGATCCCCCCGTGTCCTGTGTCCCTGCCCCACGTCCTCAGCCCCGTCCTGACCCCAAGTCCCCATCTTGTCCCCATGTCACTGTCCCCAGCTCATCCCCTGTCCCCATCATGTCCCCATCCTGTCCCCCACATCCCTCCCTGTCCCCTGAGTGACCCCCCCATCCCCTGTCCCCATCCTGTCCCCCATGTCCCCC